CTCGACGTGAAAAACGGAGAACTCTATAATTTTTCTTGAAGCCGAGCTGTTACCCAGCCTCCAACAACCCGCCTTTGCCCGGCCGCGTCTGTAACCCGTCGAGCCGGCTATACAGCCACTGGATGACCGAGGTCCACGAGAGGAACAAGGCCCAGTTGGGACGAGCCAGGGAACGCACGAAGCACTGGGCCGACCAACGGCGAAGGCCGCTGCCAGTGCTCACCGAAGGGACAGCTCGTTGTGCTCAACGGCCGGCACGTCAAGACCAAGCGACCTGTCAAGAAGCTGGACGCCAAAATGCTTGGCCCTTTCCGCGTCGCCAAGGTCATTTCCCCAACTGCCATACGGTTAACTTTGCTCAAGGCCTGGCGAATCCACGATGCCTTCCACGTCTCCCTCATAGAACCTTACCGCGCTAGCATTCAGGCTCGACCTAACCCTGAGCAGTTCCTACGAGAGACCCCTCCCGTAGAGACGGAGTATGGTGTGGAGGAGATTGAGGACTCCATGGTTAACCCACGGGGAAGAGTTCTTTACCGCGTCAGGTGGGAAGGCTACCCTAAGCAGGAAGACAAGACCTGGTAACCCTGCGACAACTTCGTGGGCGACGGAGCCAAGGCGGAAGTAACCTCGCCCCATCAACGGCACCCAGATAAGCCTAGGGACGAGAGAGTCCCCCGGGCGGCGGAATCAGGAAAGCATCGGGCTCCGGAGGCCGAGAACCCCCGGCCCCGCAAGCAACGCCGGATAATGTAGACTCTGGACTCGGGACTCGGGACGAGCCCTTAGAAGAAGGGGGATTTTGCCACACGGAGGCGCCCAACAGGCCCGGCTTCAGGCATCAAAGCGGCCGGGCCGGCCGGCCCAGCCACTAAAAAAAAGAGCGGCCAATCGTTTTTTTTCTTCGAGATCGCAGGGTAGCAACAAAGGGCCCTGCATAGACTTCTCGCACGGGCTATATAAACCCTGCTACCCCCCTTGATTCCCTCGAGAGATTCTGCTTCATTAAGCATCTCTTGAGGCCATGATTACAACTGAGATCTCATTCAAGCGGCTACTAACCCTTGTTAGCCACTGCTTGACTCCGCTTTGTTGAGGGGATAGCTCAGGCAAGGTAGGCGAAAACCTTAGACATGGTAGGAAATAGCAGACCTCAAAATCTCAGCCAAGGTAGCAAAAGGGTTAAATTGCGTATGCGCTGAATATGCAATACATACGCATTTTTTAAAATGCAATAATAAATAAAGTTTAAAGTAAAAAATTAAAAATAAATTATTAAATTTAAAATAAAATAAAACGTTTAATATAAATTTTAATTTTTATTTATTTATGTAGTATTTTATTATGTTTTATTATATTTGATTCTTTTTATTTTTACAATTTTTTTAATTTTTTTTTTAATAATTGCATATGCGTTGCATACGCAATTTAAACCCATTTTAGCTAATGTGGGAGAAAAAATAAACCCCATTGGGGAATTTTTCAAACTTCCACCTTGTTTGAGGCGATCGCACATCTTTTTTTATAATTTGTTTTTTAAAATAATTGTAAATATTTTAAAACAAAAATAAGTATTTTAAAAAAAAAATTTATATAAATATACGTATTTAAATTGCGCGCTATATGTTATTATCCAAAAGCACGGATTTTTAATGAAATTTGGTAAAGGTACTTGGACAGTTTGTTGCAGTGTAACTCCGCTGTTCTGTGGTAAAATAGCTAAAGTCTGTGGCAATATAGCCGTCCTGTAAGGGGGACGTGCCAGAGTACCGCTCCACTACATAGACCAAAAGATCCAACAGTTCAATCACTTCGTGATTGAACCCTCTGGCACCACAGTATATCAAGCCCCGAAGCCCCTGTAGCCAACGCTCCAAGCAACCCCGTTACACGTCCCCGTCAAAAGCCTGCCTACCACCGCTGGGGCGGAAAGGGTTTAGTGTACCGAGAACCCCTCTTCCTAACTGTCGTTCACGGCGCATCTCCGTCAGGCCTCCGGGCTTCCGGGCCAGCTGGCCTGCTAAGCTCCCGCTCCAATGCCACCCAGGCTCAACCTGGCGCTAACAAGGAGCCCGAGTGCGGTCGATCCGTCGGAGCGCACTCCGTTTTCTTCGGCATCGCGAAGAACCCAGTCGATGTAATCCCCCGCCCCCGAAAGGTGCAGGATGTGCGCGATCGCACGATGAATGGCGAGTAGACGAGACGAGGGCGGGTCGATGGTCTTGTCTTGGGCGAGGTGAAGGGTCCGTATGACGGGTAACCCCTGAGTTTGATCGACGAGTGGATCGAACCCATTGATGCGATACGTATGCGGGGGCCGGCTATCAACAGGCTCGAAAAAGATCTGGAAGGAGCCGAATTCCGAGTGGAGATGTTGAGTTAAGCTGATGGCGTTGTAGGGCCGGTCGATTTCGGCGCCCTCAATCAGGTGCACAACCCCCGGATCAAACATGTTCAGAACATCCAGGGCCGCTTTTCTAGCGGGGTCCAAAAGGGAGTTTGAAGAACTTTTGGCCAGTGAGTGCGGGAGGATGTGAGCAACCTCCAAATGGGCAAATTCATGCGAACTGAGCGGGAGGCCATCATCGTCCAGAGCAGGGTCTCTAGTTGCCGCTTTGAGGCGTTTACGGGCTTCCGTGATGTCGAATTTCCGTGAAATTACGCAGCAGTGGTGATCGCGGACGAGACAGAGTCCACGCAGAGCCGAGACACGGTCTGGCGTGCCGACGAAGGATTGGGGCAAAGAAGAGCCCTGTGCCCTCTGAATGGCGGAGTGGGTTATAGGGGACGGCTGGGGCGTCTTGTTGGAAGCAGCCTTGAGCGGCAAAAAGAAGTTGTTCATCAGGTACTCTGCGAAAGCATCCACCGAAGTGCCGAGGCCCGCCGCTACCTCCGTGTTCTCAAAGTCGATGTCGGCATCCGTGACATTGCCGTCGAGCGGAAGGGCCAGAGATTCGAAAAAGCTCGTCAGAAAGAGGCTCTTGGACTGATCGGAAATCGTGTATTCGTAGGTGAGGCGGACAAGCGCGGGGCGGTTGTAGCCCTGCCGCGGCCTCTGGTTTGAGGCGGCGGCAGCGCCGGCCGGCGCTTCGAGGTTCTCGAGAATGTGATACAAACGTGCTTTGGCTTGCGCCCTCGTATCATCTGGCAACAGGGCGGGAGTTCCGGCAGGCAGGATCATCATGCCTTCGAGCGACGAGCGGTGTCGATTGGGCGACTTTGCCTTGAAGGGATTTATCCCCATTTCCATCTCGGTATCCATCTCGGTGGGATCCATCTCGGTGGTAGAACGAGTGGCCAGATAGGTGTGAGCTTGTTGCCGTTTTGACGGCGTCGAGCTGCTCCGGCGCGGGGCTCGGAGCGAGCAGCTCATCGACTTAGCGGTGGGTGAGTTGGTCCGTGCTCCAACGATGGCTCATCTCCTCTCCACAGTGGGGAGTCGCGTGAATTTATGGTGGTTTGTGCTTAAAGCGCCCCATTCGAACAAAGCGAGTAGTTAGCTCAGCCAAGGTAAATTTAAATATTAAATTTTTTTTAAAATAATAAATAAATAAAGTATTATTTATTATTTATTTCAATTATAATTATTTAGAATAATACAGGGTTACTTTTAATATATATAATAAAATAAAATAAATTTCTTTTAATTTAATTTAATAAATTTTTTCTTTTTTGTTGAAAAAACGTCATTTTTATTATTTAAATATAACTGCTTTAAATGCTTAAATGCTTTGGGTATGTCTAAATGCGTTAGTTAAAATGGTACTTAAGGTGTGATAGGTCAGACCACTAGGTGGTGCCCGGCAGGTGCCGAAGTAGTGTTATTCTACGAGATAAGGAGGAAGGAGGAAAGGGTTGTGTCCTTGTCCTTGGAAGAGTCGGGGTGGTTCCTATATACATAAGTCCTGGCCCAAGGGGCACCCCTTGGGTCACGTGATCCGTGCCCAGCACGGATCCATAACATAAGGTTTGGCTGGTGGGATAGTGCGCAACCATGCTCGCACGTGTGCACAAATGATTTTGTGGTAGAATAGCTAAAGTTTTTGGCAATATAGCCGTCCCGTCGCTCCTGGTCCAGCAACAAACCAGCAGCAACATCTTATTAGAGCCTGAGCTATCCCCCGGGTCTGGCAGCTGATACACACTCAGGACGCCGTAGTTTCTATCTGCTGATAAGCTAGCTATCTGCTACCTTGCTAGTCTAGGTGGTATCGAGTTGTGGCTTCCCTTTCCCCCACGGACGTCTTTGGGAGAGGGTTTCTGGCGATGTGCGGCTCGGCTGTTGGTGTGGCAAACGCTGTATGTAATAAGGGGGAACTCGTGGATCCCAGGGGGGAAGACAGGGTTGCATCCCACCACAGGGCTTTTCCATGACTTGACGGCACATTAGACCTAACGGCGGGCCAAAAGGAGGGTTTCAAGCACCATGCTGTGGGCGCGTCCGAACCTGTTGCCCCAGACGCGTGTTTTTGCCTGGCTGCCTGGCTACCTGGCTGCCTAGCCAGTTGGGTGCTGCTTATCGAAGCTCGATGTTGTGATAGAATAAAGCTGGCGGGCCAATCAGCAGCCGCGTTAAATTGAATGGCACAAGCAACTTGCCGTCTCGTCCGATGGGTGGGGACCGAGCTGGAGGACCGATTCGGACTGATCTGATGTTTTGTGATTTTGACTTGCCGTGCTGGCAGAGGGTACCCTGGCACCTTGCCTGTGTGCCTGTGTGGGGGAGAAGCTGTGACTAGTTGAGCGTCCGTCGTGGATCCAGCCAGGGTGCTGACCCACCAGACCTGCCAATTTAAACGCGCCCCCTTTTTTTCTTTTCTTTGTTCACTTTGCTTGTGATGGCCGCCCGAGGGATTTGGCACCCTGTGTTGCATGTATAACATGTACCTAATCAGCGGGAGGCAGGTCCAAATTAATTTGCCAGGACTGCAAGGGGAGACAGAAAAGGGACAGTCGGCCGTCCATCTAGGTCGGCGCAACTCGCAAGAACCCGGGTGCCAAAATGCGCGTACGCGCGCGTCATGCGTGTCGATTCTCGTGTTGTCCAAGATGGTTGCATTTCTATTCCTTGTGCTTCGCTGGCTGCGGGTGCTGCGCAATTCCAAGACATGCAGATGCCCGCACCCGTACCGAAAAGCCTCTGGAAGCCGTTTTCCGTGCGGTCCTTCTGCCTCGCCCGCGTTTGGAAGCGCGGACATGTCCTAGACATTTTCTGTGCCTTCTTTGTTCTCCTCTGCTGCTTGCATCGTTTGTGGGAAAGTGGGCACTTGGTTGATGATGCGCTGTGGAAAACTGCCAGAACCCCAGAGGCACAAAATGCATACAATCGAATCGAGGCTTATCCCTGATTAGATCCCTGATTAGAGATTTGACCAAGTCCAAGGAAAAACAGGGCCCCTGAGCATTTCTCAGGTCCCCATTTCTCAGGTCCCCACTCCTGCACGCCTGTGCCTTGCATGAGCTGCACGTCGGCCCCCATCGTGTTCCCGCCAGTGCCACCCTTTCGTGCTAGGCCGAGATGATGACGGCCTGGCGTGCTCTGCTACTCTGCTCCTCTCGACTCCTCTCGCGTCCTTGTGCAAGCTCGGAAAAGGGAGCTGCGTGGTACCAACCTTGCCTTTTCGCTTAGGGGACATCTTTGGGCCAGCCTCACTTTTACCACTTTTTCCTTCTCCTTCCTTTTCGCTCGCAGCCAGCTCTCGCGCTCGACAACAGAGACAACCAAGGGAAAAACACCACGGACAGACGGCCTGGGTTGCGCCGCTGCATTTTCATTCTTCCTTATTCTTCGACACACTTGATCACTTTCCTCTGGAACGAAAGCCTTAGCCTTGGTCCGTCTCTTGAGCCCACACGCTTCTGGACTCTCCTTTGTGCCCTTACTTTCCCCTTCATTGGCGCCGCCTCTCCCACCGACTGCCAGCGGTGCTTGATAGGCCCGCGCTCGGACGGCGAACTCGGCCTCCAAGAGCCGTCTGGTGCACATAGTAAGTCTCCCACTCATCCTTCTCTCCTTCCTGGCCGGCGCGTCGAGCGGCCCACCATCAAGTGCCGCACTTAGCATGGGAACCAATGGCACTGGCGCCGCCACGCTGCGTCGGGGCAAAAGGCCCCCCCTTTGTTGCGTGCTGCAGCGGGGAAGATTTATCAGCCAATGCATTGCGCTGGTGTCACTTGTCCTCCTTTTGTTCGCTCAAGTCCTGAGCGCAACGGGACTGACATTTTCAGCTCAGGAAAGAACCCAAAAAGCGCGCCAAGAACAATCTTGCGACCGACCGCAGCACGCTTGCGTCAGTATCTTTTTTGCACATTACCGAATCTGTCCGGACAGTGTTTACCAGCCACATCATTGCGCCTGCTTTTTTTCCGACCTCGACATCGAACCGGCATCGAATCAAAAACACACACAAAAACAACAGCAACCAGAAAAAGGGAGAGGCCGCGGTTCCTTGGAATTGATCGTATTTTGGAGCGAGACTGAGGTAGGTCTAGTTTGCGACCCCTTCTGACTGGCGCGACAGCCGTCTGCCCAATCCCATCCCACCAGACTTGGGGGAAGGGATCCTTTGGCGCTGTCGGTTGTGATGTGCACATCCGGGGTGCTTCGTCGCCCTGACCATGGTGGCCATGCCTCGCCTCGCTGCTCAGAGCCGGGTGCTAGCTGCTGGCTGCTAAGGCAGTTGCGCTGTTCGTCTGGAGATGAATCTTGTTTCCTCGGCCCCGTCTGACAATTTGATGCAGCACGATTCGCGACTACCAACCGTCCAGCGTCCAAAATAAGGCAGCATCGTCGCACAGGAAGGAGCAACACAACGCAGCCAATCCATAGCGTTTGCCGCCCGACAGCCCCCCTGCCCAGCCGCCTAACACCTCACCAGCCAGTGGAAATTTGGTCTGGCAAGCGCAGCCTGGCCTTTGAAACGACAGCAGTCACCTGCAGCCCCAGAAGCCCAAAAGCTGTCGGAGCCACCCAACGGCCGTGCCACCCTGCGTCTGCGCCGATCAATGGGCGAAGGCCCTGTCGCGGCAGCAGCCTCCCACCACCACCTCCACCACCATCATCACCACCACCGCGACCGGCTCCCCTCGCACGCTCTGGCGAAGCCGTCGCCGTCCCTGGACTCACCTAGTACTATGAGTCCACCACCACGCCGTTCTTCTCTCGGAATGCTGCTGCGACGAAGCAAGTCGGGCGACCTGAAGGGCAAGAAGGCCCAGGCCCGCGAGGCCGAGCTGCAGAGGCAGCGCGACGCGTCCATCCCCAAGTCGCCGCCCCGCCTGCCCGTCCTCTACAATGGCGCGCCCGCCCCGGAGCTGCAGACCTTTGGCGGCGACGCCCTGCGCCCCGACTCCATCGCCATCGTCTCGGGCCACGCCTCGCCCATGGCCGACAACCACTCCATGCTGTCCAGGCCCTCGTACGACCCGGGCTCCCGCTCCGTCGTCAATGTCCCCCTTCCCGTCCCGCCAATCCCTCAGGGCGCCTGGGTCGACCCCTACGCCCGCACCGAGAGCATGACCCATCGCGGCCGCTATAGCTATGCCAGCAGCGCTGTCAGCACCGTAAACAACCCCAGGAGGGTCCGCAGGCGCAAGGACCCAACCCCTTTCAAGTGAGTCTCAATTCGCCTTGGCTGTCTCGGCTTTTGTTCCTGACCGCTGACGCTCTCCCCTACTGCGCTCTGTAGCATTCTCATAGTCGGAACCCGCGGCTCTGGCAAGACGTCGTTCCTCGAGTTCCTCAAGACCTCCCTGGCCCTGCCTGCCAAGAAACGGGCCAAGAGCACCGCCGCCGATATGGACGACTTCACTCCAGCGCCACCGCCGGTTGGCAACTTCATCCCACACTTCCTCGAGACCGAGATCGACGGCGAGCGCATCGGCCTCACCCTCTGGGACTCGGAAGGACTGGAGAAGAACGTGGTTGACCTCCAGCTTCGCGAAATGTCCACTTTCCTTGAGAGCAAGTTCGAAGACACATTCACGGAGGAGATGAAGGTGATGAGGTCCCCTGGCGCACAAGACACGCACATTCATGCCGTCTTCTTGGTCCTGGACCCTGCCCGCCTAGACCGCAACATCGCGGCAGCCAAGGCACAGGCGCCTACCGGCCACAACGGCAAGTACGTGGTTCAGCCACGCATAGTGGGCGGGCTGGATGAGGACCTGGATTTGCAGGTCCTGCGGACCCTCCAGGGTAAGACCACCGTCATCCCCGTCATCTCCAAGGCCGACACCATCACGACCAAGCACATGGACGTGCTCAAGCGCACCGTCTGGGACAGCTTGAAGAAATCAAACCTGGACCCGCTCCATGCGCTGGGCTTCGACGAGGACGACTCGTCGAGCCCTGACTCTAGCAGGATCGACGAGGAGCCCGAGGAGGACGAAGACGAAGAAGTCCCCGTTCAAGATGGTCGTATCACGCCAACCGACGAGGCACAACCGCAAGTTCTTGGCGAGGATGGCGAGGATGATGGACCATCTGCAGGTGCCGCGTCGCCCGCGTCGCCCGCGTCGAAGCTGTCGAAGCGCGACTCGATCCGCCGTAGCCGGACACAGGAAGAGCTCAAAGACGACGAGCCGCCCTTCATCCCCATGTCCATCATAAGCCCGGACATCTACGAGCCCGACGTCGTGGGGCGTGCGTTCCCCTGGGGATTCGCAGACCCGTACGATTCGGCCCACTGCGATTTTGTGCGGCTCAAGAACTCCGTCTTCAGCGATTGGCGCGCCGAGCTGCGCGAGGCCAGCAGGGAGCAGTGGTACGAGACATGGAGGACAAGCCGGCTCAAGCAGCGCGAGAACGGCAAGGGTAGCGGCGTCCGTCGTTATGCCACGACTGGAGGCATGGGTAATTAAAAGCAAGGAAAAATAATGGAGGGAAAGAAGTGCAAACCAAAAACCCACCACATTCCAAACCCACAGACGCCCGCCGTGCGCCTGTCCGTCCTCCTGCACAACCTTGATAAAGCCTGCAGGGTTCCAACGCCACATACCCCTCTATTTTTTTTGGCTCTTCCACACGGTTTTTTTTTTTTTGGCTCGCTTCACTCTTGCGCGCTTTTCATTGCTTCTCTGCATTCTCCATGCTCTTTTGTCCTTGTCATTTTGCTACTTTTTGAACCGTCCAGCGGCATACCCTTTTAGCACCCGACCTTTTTTCTCTTCTTTGCTATGTTATTCCATTCTCGAGTTCGACTCCGGGGGATGGTTGGCTGCCAGCTTGAAATGTCCATCCAGCTCGAACCTCATTAACATGCTCGGCTACACCCACAAGTCAATCCAGCCCCCTTTTTTACACCCCTCTTTTTTTTTTTTTCTTCTTCTTTCACTTCACTCCCCCTTGTGGAGGAAACGGGATTTTCTTTTAACCGCGGTCGGAGAGGCGTCTGGAACTATCTCGGGTGGTGGTCAAAAGAACCTTTTGTTGTGTTTTCTGTCATCTTCCTCGTCCACCGGGATCCATGGGCTCCCTTTTACTGCTTCCATGTAGTTAGTTTCCCCAAGGCCTTGCTCTCCTCCCTCGCCACTGTCGCGCTCTGTAGTTGACTAGAGTGAATCAATCGTGTCGTGTGTGGACATGTGTCATTCCCATATATGCTCCCGTCTCCCCACTGCCATGTCTTTCCCGTGTCGCCCATCAAAACGACCACCAAACCATGCATGTTGGGTCCTAACCATTCTCCACGGGCTGTCTTGAATCGACGGTCGCAGATGATGCAAACACCGATACTGCATCAATTGAACGCAGGGGTTGTTGAATAAGCTACCTATCTGGCGGCTGCCTCCTCGGTGGTACTCCGCCCAATAACCCCATACTATCTCACAAAACAACCCACACCATATCCCATATCGTTCAAGCCCCAACAGGGAGCGATTTGAAAAACTCAAAGAACGTGACCGCCACCCGGCTTTTGGACATCAAAACCCCCATTACTCAGCCACATGTTCCACGCCTGCAAGAGAGTAGAATAACATAACGAAAAACACAGCCTATATGGCCCCGAAAAATGCAAATCGAAGAGTGGTCCAAGATGACACAGGTAGAGCGTAGTGACCGGTGTCAAAGACCCTCCAATGAAGGGCTGTTCTGGAAGGTTCAATCTTCAGTTCTCAAGCTCCTCAGAACCGTCGCCCTCGCCAGCGTTGAACGCCGCAAGCCGTGACCCGAGGCCGGACCAGAGCCGGCCCTGCAGGCCCTGGTGGGTTTCGCCTGTGCCGGGCTTCAAGCCGGCCGACGATCCAGGGCCGATAGGGCGGAAGCCCTCGTGTTGGTGATCCAGAATGTGAGGGCCTGGATCAGGACCCAATCGACCCCCGCCCATACCCATGCTTGGAACGGCAGCTGCAGGGGTGACCTCTGTCAAAAAGGTTGTGAGCCAGCCTAGGGATTGTGTTAGCTCTATCCAGCAATTAGGTTACTGGCAACGGGGTATTATCATTGAAAGTTTACCTGATGATGTCCATGACGAGATTGTCGGTTCCCATCCAGGCATGTCGGGCCACTCAGACATGATTGGAGTTGCAGATGCACTTGATTCCGCCAAAGCGCTTGTTGCAGACGCTTCCTCAGAGGGCGCGCTTGAAACAATAGTGGATGTGGTGGCGGATGGCCCGTATCCCGTTGTGGTGCTGCTGGGTGGAAATCCGATGGCATCTGTCAGGCTTGTCTCAAACACCACGGTGCTGCTGGTACTGTTGTAGACTGAGGTTGAAGAGGTTGCATTTGTCCTGACCTCGGAGCCGTTTGGAGGTGGGGTAGACGCTGTAAGAGTCGCCGAAGTTGAGGCTGGGAATGTTATAGAACGGGTCGTCGCCAGGGTAGCCGACGAATTATTCGTCACACTCAAGGCAGAGGACATGTTTGCTTCAAGGGAAGCAGACGGAAGCAGAGTCGCAGTCGGCGGCGCACTTGTAACAAATGTGGTAGTGTTACACGTCGTTGTGAAGTTGATCCAAGAGCCGGTTGGGGCGGCCGTTTGGTTGGGGAAGCTGCCGCCGGTAACAAGACCAGATGTAGTGTCACACGAGGTGCTAGTCACTGCAGTACCAAATGTGCCGCCAGTCGGGATCGCGGTCAAAGTCATATTCGAAAGCGGGAATGGAGTACTGGACGTAGCCGTTCTGCTTGTCGAACCAGCGAGAGCTGTTGAGCTGGATACACTGTAGGGCGATGACGAAGGTGGGCCAGATACAGGCAGCACCCCCGACATCTCCGTCTCGTCAGGTGCCAGTGTCGTTGTCGAAACGTTGGTGATAGAAGCCGCAGTTCCTGTTGAACCAGCCGTGACCGTGGTGTTTGACAGAGGGAAAAGGGGAGACGGGCTCGAAGCTGTGGGCCAAGCAGCACTAGTCAAGTTTGAAATAGGATACAGAGGGGAGATTGTCGGAGCCGCGGTAGCAGCTGGTCCAGTGGGACCGCCGTTTGCGGTGGCGTTGGTCAATGGGTATGGCGGCGTTGAGGTTGGGAGGGCTGCCGTGCCGTTCACCAGGCAAGGCCCGATCATCATGCCGCCAGTACACACGGGTAGCGATGTTGGAGAGGCCAATTGGGTCGTGACACATGGGCCGATCATCATGTCGCCCGTGCATATGGTGGCCGGTTGCGGATACGGGGTTGACGACGCTGCAAGGCATGGTCCAGTCATGATGCCTCCGGTACAGATCGGAAGTAAAGTAGCATTCGAGGTCGTGTTGGGCCAAGAAGAGCTGGTGGGCAGCGCAAGGCAAGGCCCAGACATGGGTCCTCCCGTGCAGGTAGGAAGAGATGCGCTCATTGCATCCGTCAAGGAAACCTCGGTGACCGGGCTAGTGGGAGTGGTCGGTATCGCAGTGCCATTGCATGGGTTTCCCATTACGCCTCCTGTGCACACAGGCATGGAGGCGCTCCACGCATCCGTCAATGAGGTCTCAACGACCGAATTAGTTGTCGTAGTTGGTGCCGCGGTGCCATTGCACGGTCCTACCATAGCACCTCCGCTGCAGAAGGGGAGAGAAGTATTCCAGGAATTCGTCAAGGGTACATCGCTAAAGGATGTTGCTGATGTAGTTGGCGGTGGCCAAGTCGCGCCAATGCAAGGCCCCGACATCGAGCCCCCGGTGCATAATGGGAGCGATGCACTCATTGCATCCGTCAGAGACGTCTCGTACACAGAACTGGAATCGGTCGTTGTGGTTGCGGGCAGCGAGCCACTCAAAGCGTCGGTAAGAGACGTCTCGAGAACACTCGAAGTACCGTGGACACACGGTCCAGACATGGCGCCCCCAGTGCAGATGGGAAGGGGTGTAGATGTGTTCGATGTGGGTGCCGGCACACTCCAGGCGTCGGTGAGGGACGTTTCGATCACACCAGATGTGGTGTGGACACATGGAACAGACATCTCACCACCCGTGCAAATTGGAAGCGATGTGTAAGTCCTCGAAGTCGGCAGCGAGTCACTCGCGGCATCGGTCAGCGGTGTCACAGGCACTTTGGGTGTGCTGTGAATGCACGGCTCCGACATGATGCCGCCAGTGCAGATGGGGAGCGGCACCGAGGTGTTCGACGCCGGAAGCGTCGAGTTGAATGTTGTGGTCAAGTTCGACGTCCCAGTTGCGGCAGTGACACAAGCCCCAGTCATGCTGCCACTGCCGCAGAGGCTGCCCGTTGGACCGACCCCAGGAAGAGTCGAGTTGGTCCAGGGGAAGGGGGGTGTAGACGTGGGTGTCTGTGAAGCTCCCATCGAGCAGGGACCTGTCATAGAGCCCGCCGAGCAGAGAGAGGGTATCACAGTCGTTGACGTAGAGTTGTATTCAGAGGACGAGAAGTTTGAAGAGGGAGGCGAAGGGGAAGATAGACGGGAGGTGGTCCCGTTTGTCGGGAGTGCTGATGCAGCTGTGGTGTCCAACGGGAGGGTTGACATGCCGAAGGTCTCAGTGCCCGTGGGACCGACTGGGATTCCCGTGGAGTTGGAAAGAGGGAACGGCGCCGCGGTGGACACAGCAGACTTGGATGAGGGCGGGCTGGAGATGCCTGTGCCCTTAGTGGACCAAGTCGCTGTCTCTGTTGCATTAAGAGTCGGAAAAGATGAGAGGGGTTGATCCGTGGTGGTTGGGTGGATAGGGCTCAGGAATGAAGACAGAGCCGCGGTCGAAGTCGAGGACACTGGAAGGGAGATGTTTGACGACGACGACGAAGCGCCTGGGAGGGGGTAGCCAGTCTCGGCAGAAGAAACCGTGAGGGTACTCGAAACGGTCACAGATGACGGGCCCGTAGAAGAGGCAGCGGAGCCGCTCACTGGCAGAGCTCCAGACGTGAAGAAGTCGCTTGCAGTCGAGACGGTTGGCACAGAGGAGGTAGTCTCGGAGATGGTTCCAGAGGTCTCCCATGGAAGCGGCACGCCCGCACCAGAAGCCGTTGGTGTTTCTATGTTGGCGAGCAAGATGTTAGAACAGATAATGTTTGGAATGGCTCCGTGGAGCGCAAGCCCTTTGGGAGGCCTTACCGGTCGTCGTGCTCGACGTCTGGGCGATCGGGTTTCCATAGCCGTAGCCGTAGCCGTAGCCAGGAACGGACGGATCGGCAAGCGCGCGTGGCTCGGGTACGAAGCAGAGCACGGCGGCCCATTGGGCAAGCGCGATGCAGGAAGGGAGCTTCATTATCGCAGCGTCTTTGAGAAAACGAAGGAAATAGCAGCCTATCGGAAACGACGGCTAGGGGCAGAAACAGCCTTGGCGCAGATGTGCTTTCCCGATCCTGCGCAGGCGCGTGATAAAGAGGGGAGGCGGCGGGCAGAGTCGAGAGATGGGATTGAGCTCTCCTGCCACGGGACCCGAAAAGAGCGTATGAAAGCAGTCAATGAATGACGGGCTTTACTTGCAAATTCTTGCTGAAAACAAAACGAGCGGCAGGTGGGCGACTGATGCCGGGATATCGCGCCAGCCCAAGACCATGGAAACGAGTGAGGTGAGGAGCGGGAAAGGAGAGGAAGAAGGAGCAGGTGGGCGGGCTGCAGAGGCGAGGGAAGGGCGAGGGAAGGGTGAGGGAAGGACGAGGGCGACCAGTTCGTGTCGGGGTGGGAAGGAGCGTACGGCGGTTCACACGAGATATATCACGGTGGAGATGCACAAGCGGAAGGAGCGTCCCTTCCTGAGACTCGCCGCACGGGAGACCACTCGGCCGGATGCGCGGGCCCAGTCGAGACGGCTCGAGTCATTCATCACGAAAAGATCGGGCTGGCATGTCATCAAAGTCTGGTCTGGCAAGTGTGTGTGCCTGGTGCCTGCCCACCCAGTTGGAGTGACAGTTACGGCTGTGCCATGTTTGATATCTGGTCGGGCTCTGAATAGCACCACCACCACGCCTGCAAAGACGTGCGACCGCTACCCAGGCACCAGACCGACATTGACACACCAGGTACCCGTCGAGACGCACCCGCCCACACCCTCGGCCTCATTACCCTGGCGTCGGCGGGCACGAGCGCTGCTGAGAAGGACCAGACCTCGCCTCCAGGAGGCGTTCACGGAAGGCAGCATCTCCCTCGCTCCCGTCCACGCCTGGGAAGTATAGGACGATGCGTAGAGGACACAGGCCGCGTACCCTCGACTTCGCCGCACCGTCACGGCAGGGCAGTGTCTAGTTATCGTTCCGTTTGTGTCGGCCAAACCTCGCTAGGAGATGATGCCTGTGGCCGCACGCCGGCCGTCGAGCAAATCAAGAAAGGGTCAGCCATCGCGGAGTGGGACACAACGGATGTCATGGATATGTGCCCACCGTGCTCCTGTTATCAACGGAGGGAGGTCTGTAGACGGCCACGGCAGGCGGCTCTACCGCCACCATGGGCGACGAGGAAAAAGGGGCCTCTTTGCCGATGGGGGATGACAGTGCTACCGTGGCATGATCTCAGGTTGCGCGGCAGATGGAAGCAGAGCATATGGCCACCTAGTCGCCCAGCCCGTGTTCCGATCAACCGAGTTGGACACAGCCCCTGATGCACTCTGTCCTCCATGTGCAGCACAGGCACCAAGTTGCACAACACAACTGCCCAGTCGGGCAGTAACACGCCCGGCTTGCAATGCTGTCTCTGTTGATCATGGATGGCAGCGACAAGGCTCTCTTCATCACCTCATCATGCAGTTCAGCCTGAGAATGAGAAGAAAAGCATAGAGGCACAAGACAAATGCCACGCCCACGAGCTCCAGGGAGAGCGGAAGGAAGGAATGTGGGCAATGAAGGGACGTAAGGAGTCAATTTCAGCCAAAAGGAGGTCTGATAGAAGAGCGGGAGAAGGAGAGAGGGGGACGACCAGGAGGAGGGGCGGTCTCGACTCCCCAACAGGGCATGGGCTCTGCTAGCCGCCATCGATGATCTGCCTAGCTACCCAGTTATCCCCGTGGGACTTCTGCCTGCCTCCCTCCCCGACCCAGAGCTGCCGTGCAAGCCAACAGGGGTTGGTCACCTGGAGGGGATGGCTGCCGTTTGCCGTGCCACGACGTGCTGTGAATTTTTCGCAGCGATCGCTGGCTGGGCCTGCCTCCTCCGTCCCCCCCTGTCGTGCAACGACAAAAGAGCCACAAGACCGAAATGGGGGTGTGTGCATTTCTGCCACCCACCAACCACCTTCGCTTTCACCACAGGGAGAAAGGGATGTGCACAAATCATGTACGTGCCCGAGAATCGACCTACCAAGGTATCGCCCATTTGTTTGACACGCGCGGTGTAAAAACCAAAAAAAAAAAAAAAANAAANAANAAGAGAGAGAGAGAGAGAGAGAGAGAGAGAGAGA